CCAGGCGACGCACGATTAACGAAATAGACTTTGTCGGAATTGTTAGAATAATCATATATTCTACAAGAAGGCCAATAAAGAAGTGCTTTGTTTTTATGGTTTTTTAATTATTTTTATATACAGCATTTTTTTACAAATAGTACAGAAGTTTTATGAGGTTTTTATTTTTAGACTGAAATTTGGACTCAAAAATGATCATTTTCCTGTTGTTTTCAAGAAAATTTCTAACCATACCTAAAGTGATTAKAAATGTGAAAATATGTAGGAAATTCTTCTTGTCTTAATCTTTGGAATATATTATTATCAAACTCCAATAGGCAATAAGAGTAAGAGTAGCGGAGGATACACTATATCGAAAGCAGATCCCGTACGTAAACACAGTACGAATCGGTGATAGTACACAAGTATATATTACATAACAGTAGGTATTTAGGTATTTATAATAATACATAGTCAATTAAGATATCCATACGCTTATATAAAAATTAATATGGTGAACCGAAGGTCAACGGATTTGCGAGAAACATCACTACCACTCGCATTTATATAGCGACGGGAAGATCTGCACGATTATCATTATAATTAATATTTAATACCACCCTCTATGTGAACACCGAATGAAAGTCTCGATCAACGAGCTGTAGTTGTAGCCTGTAGGTGTATATAATATTATACATTATACACACTCGATATAAATGAAATATAATATTCTATAGTAATAATTACAACGGTTATCGGAGAAAACTTCGGTGACTACTAACACGGATAGAGAAACAAACTGAACAACAACTACCTACAATATTGTATATTATATGCGTATATAATAGACTACATTTTTTATAGTAAGTTATAAAAAATTATATTATACGCCCATAATAATTGTATATGACGCAGCCCTCACTAAATGTTTGTATGTATCGGTAGGTATTAAAACATTAAAAATTAATTTATTATTATTTTACTATAATCAATCTTTCGGATTTTTTTGTGTTAGATTTAGTTATTAGTACTTATATGGCTATATGTATATAATATTTACGCCATAGGTGTAATATACATATGTATAGGTAATATATATAGATTACTGTTGATTCTATCAGTGTAAAGACACTCGTTATTCAAAAAAATATTTACGTTACATAATTTAATCATTAAGGAAATATCTTATAAATTATTTATTAGTTTTTAACTTTTTTAATGTGTACATAATACTTTTGATTTCATAATCCAAAGCAGAATATTTTTAATCAGCGTAACGTTGATGCACACGTCAATCACATAAAATGTTGATTTACTTCTCCGTTCATTTAAAACTAATCTAGTACTAATGATTTATAATTAAGTAACTACTAGTTTGAATTTGAATTTTTATGTATTAAAACACTTTAAAAAAATAATGTGCTTTGGAAGAAATTTAATAACGCATGTTATTATTCAAAAACTGTAAATTATTAAAACATAACTTATAATTTTGTATTGTAATAATGATTTATATTATACTTTAATTTAAATTTTAAATATATAAATATATTTTCAAATACGTTAATATTTTTTGAAATAATAATGAGTCTTAATATGTTAAAAAAATCACTTCATTTAAACTTTAAAGTGTATACGTGATTCGAAATATATAAGTAACTATAATATGTGACTAAAAATAAATAAAAATAAAAATAATACAACAATATTTGAAAATTTCCGATAACCTACATTATGTACATAAAGTATTAAACCTTTACCAGCAGAAAACCAAAAAAACAAAGTTGAATTCTCAAAATCATTTAAATTAAGTATAATATATATAGGTTCATATTATAACTAAATAGGTTCCTATAATCTAGATTTGATATTCATTTAACAATAAATTTTATGTAAAAAACTTTTTAATTCTAAGCGCCTATGCGTAATATAATGTCGGTTATCTATTAAAAAGTCAATTATAATAATGTTTAAGGTTGTTGCTTTAAAAAAGTAAAAAAAAAGTCACCATATCAGGGAAAAGATGCACTGACTTACGACAACACCTTTGCCGTATTTTATTGCATTATTTTAGTACAAAATAATATGAACCATACGTCTTATTAACACGTAGGTACTTACGAAGCGCACAATAATATTATATTATGCAGATAAAATATTTGTATGATACGATCTGTGTGTGCACGCGCGCGGGTGTGTGTGTGTAGATAATAATATAATGGGTATATATAATAGTTTGTTACGGGTACATAATGCATATGTTTTACACTTATAAGTTATAACAATATTATTGTTTATGTTATGCGTGCACAGTGCACACGCTGTATACTTATAAACGCACTTTTGTTATATACGCACACGCTTGTGACCGCGGTATATTGTGTAGGTACACGCATATTAAACCACACACTACTGCTGCTGCTGTTGCTGATGCTGCACATCACGTGCATTCCAATCACGTTTCTCGATACGGACCGACCGCTTCTGCACAGATACCGAAGATGACATTCGACCTCTCGGATCGATTCTTACGTAAAAAATCTTATTTACTTTTTATTTTTTATTCCACTTATTCCGCCGGTTTTGTTTTATTATTACCATTATCATTGGGTATTTTCTTTTTAGTTCCGTCGCGCAAACGTCGACTGTCGTTTCTCCGTGTTTTTGGATTCTCGTACCTTTATGGTTTATACGCATTATAATAATAATATTATAGTGTGTATAATATTATTATTAATTATTATTGATTGGCGTGCTTGTCGCCCGGAGCGCGGCTGTTACCGGGCCCACGTCGCTTTCGCTAGTCCCCMCAGGAGAGATGTGCACACGTATACGATTTTTTTTTTATTTTATACTTATTTTTCATACATAAACGTCTTTCCAGTACCTATACCTATAATACCTGTGTAATTTTTCTCCGATACGYGTCGCGGTGATTAATTGTCTTGGACGCGCGAACGCCGGTATATCTATATTTTTTTTTATTATTTTTTTTGTTGTTGTTGATGTCGTCGTCAGTTTTTAAATCCTTCAATTATTTTTTATGACGCTATAATTTCGAACTCGTCGCCTGAAACACCAAATATTATAATGTATGCAAGTGATGTGTGCGGCTTATAATATGTTACATTATAATATCAGTATAGTAGGCTCTAGGTATAGTAATAGTTGATTAATACGATCATAACGCCCGAGCAAGCTTATAGCATTTTTATCTATACAAGTACCTGATCGTATATTTTAAACATATTATATACATAGTTTTGTGTAYTTATATTATGTGTATACCGGAACTGAAGAGAAGTAAATTTTCCCCAAACGAGTCACGACTTTATTTTATTTTCAGTATAGGACATATTTATGTACCCATCTATTATAATTTACAGACATACAACTATACGCGTATCTCATCGTCGGTAACATTCCCCAAAACGTTTGTGATCGGATGTTTGAATAATGTTATTAATTTATTATCGTAAGTATTAAATRTATGGTATATAAATAAGTATCTAGTAAGTATTCTATAATGTATACATATAWAATATATATTAATTTTTTTTCTATAAGGTTGACAACTTCTGTAGTGCGGATCTACGTTTATTACTAGTGATTTTGACTTCACACGTAAGCGCAAAAATAATAATAATATGCTATAAACATATACATGATACCGAAGAATTGTACCTCATTCAAAACTAACAGCAGAAATGGTGGAATTTAATGTTCTATATTTCAAGCTGAATATTATAGTCGTTAGGGCTTCTATATCTTTTAATCAAGAATGTATTGATTGTTCACTGAAATAAAATAATAATATACAGACACGTAGTATACAAACCATTGATTACTATGATATATATATAGCTGATGATTGTAAAATCCATTTTTGCAACCTAATATATCACATAGATTTTGAAAATCACGTCCATCAAAATATGAAAAAATATTGGTTTTTATAATCCTAAACTCTAAAGTGTACTATATTGCAGATAATAATAAATTCAAAA